CGATCACAGCGCGATGTTTTCGTCGCGCTGTGATGACGTCAAATGCGCGCTTTCGTCGAGCGTGCTTTTGTGGACCGCGGTTTTGACGGGTCACGGTCACAAATAGATCTGAATCTACAGAGCTCAGGACAATTTACAGAGACACCTTTCCCTCCCCAAAGCATTGTAAATACCGTATTGTATATTGAGCGGTTAATTTCAGGCTGGCATTCAGCGCCCTTACCTATCTCAATATATCCTACCCTACTTTATCTGCCACGTATTCCACTTATATTCTTCCCCTGTGCACAGTCGGTGTGGTATATGAGCCCACTGTAATTATGGAAGGCCTGTGTTTTGTCTCCAAAGAACAGGCAGTCATATACATTGAATAAATAAGAATAAATTAGTTAGAACAACCAGTTAGAACAATTAATCAGTGGAACAACTTGCCTCTAGAAGTTGTAAATGCTCCAACACTGGAAGTTTTAAAGAAGAGATTAGATAACCATTTGTCTAAAGTGGTGCAGGGTTTCCTGCTTAAGCAGGGAGTGGGACTAGAAGACCTCCAAGGTCCCTTCCAACTCTGTTATTCTATTCTATTCTAAATAAGAATATCTCTTAGTTTCCATAGTAGAAGGTCCAGGAGAGTCATCAACATCCAGAACCAATTCTTCCCTCTCATCTTTCCCAATCATCTCCTTCAGACACAAACAGTACTTAGGCTTATGGTAGTCTTCCACAATTTCGTGCTCTCCAGTTCAACAGAATTTCAACAGCCCAAATTGTCACTGAGCTTAGCTCAAGAGCATAAAGGTCTTTGAAATTCAACATGTTTGGAAGACAATAAGATATTGGATACGATGATTGTTATTTGTTAGTTAAGAATACCTGTGATTCTACTGATTGTGGGGGGAGGGGGGGACTCCAGTGTCTCCTGGTGGATCAGTAGAAAAGTTTTAAGAAAATGGATTTACTTTGTTCTTCAACAGATTTTTGAAATCCATCATCTTGATAAAGTTAAACATGTCTAGTTTAATAAAAAAGGACTAGCGGAGACATGATAGCAATGTTCCAATATCTTAGGGTCTGCCACAAAGAAGAGAGAGTAAAACTATTCTCCAAGGCACCTGAGGGTAGGACAAGGAGCAATGGGTGGAAACTAATCAAGGAGAGC